TTGTCAATATGTTGTATAAGAGATTGAATCGTTTGACCATGAGGAAGAAGTGGTAAGTTGTAATAAAGAAGGAATTTTTTGAAACATGTATGAAGATCATAAGGGCTTAAAGATGTTGAGAATGTCTTCTAAGATTGTCTTCTACAGGATCGATCACCGTATGCTCGGCTTTAACTGCTGTGCAAGGTACCAAAGTCTACCCTGTACATTGGGTCTGACCATCATAATCTTGGCCTTCCACGTATATATATATTGCTCATATGTTACTATTTTATAAATTACTTAATAAAGATACAAGCAAGACTTTACTTTAAAAAAAATTTATCAAACATGATCATTATCAATAATATGATATATAATATGAAAATTCTAATAGAATAAAAACATTAAAATCAATTAACAAACATGATTCTTAGTATTGTGAAACAAATTTTAAATGCTTAAAAATAAATTAATAAAACTTACATTAATATTTAATATTATGAATTTTAAAATCCACACTTTGCAAAATCATGTGACAATAGTTTAGTATACCAGAAATGAATGCAATGAATGTATAGATTATATGATGTTTGAAGTAGAATAAGTTCGTGAATCTTAAGTTTGATTGGTCCACATGATTTATTCATCAAATTTTAATTATTTTTGATGCATGAATTCATCACGCGTATAGTCAACGGATAAATAAATGCATTCGAATATGTAGTTACAGAGTATTCGAATATAAACAAAAGCGATTTCGTAATTGCGATAACTAACGATAGTAAAAGCAAGAATTTTAGACTCAAAAATTGGCAACCCCGGTAGTGTATATCAAATGTTTCACAATATATTAATGAGATACTAGGTTAGTTCTTGTTTGCACGTTACTTGGACTATTTGTTAACTACTATATTTGCTTTCGTTCCAGGTTTCTAGCGCGACTGCGTCGCGCAGCTATCCTACCATTCTTTAGACCTTGTTTCGAATCCATCTATTTCATAATCCTATTTATTGATAACTTCTTGATTTTAAATTCCAAATAAGTTTATTCAAGATTATTTGATGCCAGAAACGTAGTGCACAGTTTACAGGCAACTATTTGTGTACAAAATCTTGGATCTTATTGGATGAAGTATTCAAATCGAACATTGGATGTACAGAATATCAGAGGCCATTTATATGGAAATTGATGTTTGAGAATTCTTTTTTGATAAAACTTCTGACTGTGACAGCTTCTAAATTCTAGCACGTGTGTGTACCAGGTAAAATCATACATACCTGTTATACCTTACTACTTTTGGTAACAAATTCGATAGTATGTAAAAAAGATATAGTATTATTTTCCGGATTTGTTCATTTTATGAATTTCACACCTCCTTTATAAAAAGTCTCGGTCGTCTCAGTTAATGAAGTGAGCATTCTGTATGCTTCACGATCAAATAATAAATTAGCGTAATTATAACGAGTACACGCTCATTTTCTCGGCAATAATTTCACCGACAGGTTTTCATGTATGCAACAATTTAATGAATTATCACTCAACGTGATGTAGAGTAAATGGCTTGTCAGCGAATAATTATTGGGATTTTGTAATAGAACCGTTATAATGATATACCTCTTTAAGTCCTAATTACCATCGATACCCATTAAACTTTCGATTATAAATCTATTAATTTATTACATCGCTTCGATCTCTTCATCGACCCCATGCCTAATCGCAAGTTATTTGTGCCACTACAATCTAAACTTGTAGTTAAGATTTTGAACTGGCTTTAGTTTTCTTACGATAAAGCCAATTAAAATTGGTTTTAGCATAAGAAAAATAAAACTGATTCCGAACTCTGCTTATAATTTTTTCAAATTGCATATAATACAGAAAGAACTTTAATCTTCTAATTATGTTATTTCAAATTTACGTTCCTGGTTTCGCGTGACAGCGTCGCGCAGCTACCTTATTGATTACATTCTCGAATCTAAGTTTACGCATACAATCATTGTTCTGCAAAACAAATCTACCGTGCAACCATGGCTACGTCATTGACTAAGTTTAGGCCCTGGTAAATGGTTACATCACGCTGGCTTAATTATGACATTAATTGCGGATTTTCCGTAACTTTTTATATTGTGATCATTTAATTCGTACATCAATAACCACGAAACAAAAAAAATACAAAATAAATAAGTAATAACAATGTTAATCAATTTGTTCGACTCTATTCATTAATCGCCTTTATTAAGATAAATGTGCAAGCAGATTGGGTTGATTAGCATTTCTAGTAAGAATGTATAAGTACAATCATTTGTTTTCGCAATAACAATACCCATCGCATTAATATATCTAAATTAATAATTAATATAATATCATATGCTGTTACAGTTTGTGATCGGTTTTGAGTTGTTTTGTACAAATAAGCCGTGTTTGTCATTGTAAAATTAATATTTTTAGTATACTTTATTGTAACCATTAAAGAATTTTACAGAAAAGTGGTAATAAAAAAAGGAAATTAGTAACGGAGTTTGACGATAAGGTTAGGTTACACTAATACCAAATTCCGGAAATTGGTTCTGACCAAGCAATTTGAAAATTTAAACTTTTGTTAAACTTTAAAAGGAAACCTTTTTTGTAGCCTAATCTGTGGCCTAAATGATAATTACATAAGACAGAATTTGAATTTAGAACAATTTTTTTAGACTTATTTGTTTTTAAGTTTACGCCCGAATTACGATTTTATTTGAAAAGTATATTAGGCTGAATTATGTTGGTTCCACACCTGTTTCATGATTGAAAATCTCCAATGAATATCTTTGTTATCAAATAACAAAACAAAGTACTACTCATAGTACATTATGTATTTACATTTTACTTTGTAAATACATGGATCTTGGCATTAACATCATGTTCGTGACCTAGTCGTTTCTAAATGTAGTATAGTTACATTCTTTTCTCAAAAAAAAAAAAAATTTAAAGATATAAAAAGTGGTAATAAGGAGAATTTTTTAGGCAAATATTATTAAAAGAATTATCATTCTTTACGAGTGAATATATAACATTCTAAGGAACTTTTTTAAAGGACTTTTTTTTGGAATTTTGGGCTATCATTATCACACTACATATTATTATCACGCTACGAATAATAACAAATCTAACTAGAGAGCAATTGAATATTAAAAATGGATAATTGGCCGGTGTTAAACTTTATGCATAGACTTCAGAACCCTGTACCTCAATTTGTATTAGGATGCTTACCGGCTATAGCCATAATTGGTGCATCACCTGAAAAAGGTTTCAAAAAAAAATTCTTATGGATATTACGATGTCTTGCTTGCCCATTTACTGGATTATTCTATACACTAATTATAGAAAATAAAGAAGAATCAATCTTTGCATATTGGCTCTCATCAGAAAAATTTATCACAGATAACGATGGAAAAGTACAAAATATACCTTTTGGTTATCATTCTAAAGCAATATCAAATCTTACTAAAATGCAGAAAGAATGCATAAAAGAGTGCGTAGCGGAAGCTAGCATATTAGAAAGAGTTTCACCATTAGTCTCTGCTTATTATATAATAGTTGGCTTGTTATCTGGAATAGCAAGAATATTTTCTCCAGGCGCATGTACTGATTGGCCATATATTTCTGTCGTATTAGCTTGGACATTTGTAGTGATCTATAAAAGATCACTTTGTGGAAAAATAATAGCAAAGAGTCCTGAAGATATGCTGCGAGAGTACATAAATAATAAAAAACTTATATTAGATGAACGAGTATATGTAAAAGATCTTAATAAAAAAGATCTAAAACGTAAACGAACATTGGTTATCTTTATTGGTTTAGTATCAATTATATTTCCTTGGTTATCAGTACTTATGGCTTATAATACTCCTCCGGTTGGATTTTTTTGCAGAAGTCGATATCTTACTGTAATATGTTCTATATGGTCATTTAATAGTTTCATTGCATTGATTTGTCATATAAAAGGTGAAAAAAAAGTCGATAATAACGAAAATATTATTCACAAAATGTATTGTTTCTGGGGTATTATAATGGGTTGTCTATTGTTTTTTTTGGCTCTATTATGCAATGATAGAACATGGTGGGAAAAATTTTTTGGTGAAATGTGCAAGTCTTCAGATTGCAATGATGTAACTAGTTAAAAATAATTTATCAATAATATATTTAACAATGTATATATATGTGTGTGTGAAATTTTTATATTTCAACTATTTATATCTTTAAATCGTAAATCGTATTTCTATATTTATTACTTATTTACTGTTACCAGGTGTAAATGGTGAGAAGCAAAGGACGAAAATTTATTTATATAATGTTTTTAACTTAATAAATTTTATGAATTTGACATAAAACTGCCTACAAAAATAAACATTATCGCTGAATTAAGACTACTTATTTTTGGTTTTATTCTAAACACTTAAAATTATTATTTTTATATCGGTAAAGCAACGCTCTGTTATTTGATTATAAAGAACTTTTGACAAACTTAGTAAATTTATATCAGTAACATTTGTTAGGTTAACTAAGATAATCTTGTACTCAGTATAGTATAATAATTAGTTAAGTAAAGTATTGATCATTTATGAGTAATACTAAGAATTTACAAATGCCTATGTATGATATGCACCATGTATATTGTAATAATATAAATAAAATCTCTTATAATAATAATAATAAGGTAGCTGCGCGACGCAGTCGCGCTAGAAACCAGGAACGAAAGTAAATATAGTAATTAACAAATCGTTCAAGTAACATGTAAACGAGAACTGATCTAGATCTCATTAATATATTGTTTAATATACAGTATAGGCAAATGACTCGCATTAGCTAATCAAACAAAAGTTTACAAGGCCCCATCAGGTTATCAGGTTATCCCTTTGACGATCATTGATTATCATTTAACAGCCCAATAAAATCCTATGAAAAATATTAAATATCAGATAAATAGACAAATTAATCTGTATTGGGTTACCAATTTTTGAGTTTAAAATTCTTGCTTTTTCTATCGTTAGTTATCGAATTATGACATCACATTCAAATTATACTCTGTATATCTGCTGATCTACATGCGTGATGAATTCATGTGAAAAATAACCAAAATTTGATGAATAAATCATGCAGACCAATCAACTTAGATTTCGTGAACAAATACAACTTTAAACACCATATAATCCATATTTGTTCTTGGTACACTATTACATTCATTCTTGGTATATTTAATATAACAATTAATCAATTAGAGGATAGAAGTATTTATGGTTTAACTCAAAACATTGCAATAAATGAATATATTTTGGTATTTGATGAATTTGGTTTTAAAATAAAGATAATAGAACATATCTTATATTTAGTATCAATTATGTGATTTTCAGGAGACAATACAAGGATAAACAAGTAAAAATAAGAATATCAACAATTGCATTAAAGAATTGCAACTTAAATTTATGAAATATGAAGATGTAATCAAATGGATTCCTTTTAATAGTTCAGCTAATGTTCAAAAGAATAGTGATAAAGTTTTAGTAACATAATCAGATGGAATACATTATGTAAATTATGAATATGTTATAATAAATATGGAAGTGAAAATTAAAATATTAACATAAACATAAAATAATTTAAAAGTAATATTATTTTATTATATTAAATATTAGATATTAAATATCAGATCAAGGAACATAAATCATTAAATCTTTTTAATGATCACTTGTACCAACTTTCTAAAATATAAAACTCAATATTTTATTAAGTAAACTACTTATAAATATTTAAGTAAACTTGTTTATAACATAATTTTACACTTAAATAATTATATTTTATATCTTTATATTCTTTTTCTAAAGAGATATATTAATTAAATCTAAAACACTTCTATCTAATTTATCTTAAAAAATTATTAAGTAAACCATTCTAGCTAATTAGAACAAACAGAAAGAGCTTAATAATAACTTTATTTTAATATATTATTTATTAAAATTGATCTAAAATTAATTAATTTATTAATAAAATACTTCAAACTTTTTTACAAAATTTTTTTATTTTTTATTTTGTTTTATTTTCATTTTTTGAGAAGTTTTCTCTAGTCTATTCTTATTTAACCTCATCTAAATAAGATTACTAATCCATATTACATAATTTATTTTTAACAAAACTTAATTACAAGTTTATATTTTTTTTAAATTTATACAAATTTGTTTAATATTGTTCCTAACTTATAGATAGATCTATAAAGTATTATCCATTATCATAATATATTTTTGATTGTTACTCCTCTTAACTATTATATCCTCTTATTTGTCACATTTCTTATTTGTCATACCTTCTTATTTATCATACCTTCTTATTTGTCACATCTTATATTATTCAAATTCTTTTGAATTTAGGAATCTTTATATTAATTTTATTTTCAAATCCAAAGCAATTATATTTATATTTATTAATCAAGACCCAGATCAATATAACTTAAATTATTTTTTAGTCAAGTATAGTAACTGTTTTGGTACCATATTCAAAAAAAATAATTTATAACAAATTAAACTTATTTAATTCACTATACATTCAATTGGATATTATAAAAAAAAAACAAAATTTACTACTTAAAGCACCTTCTATTATTTAATATTTCTATTAAATTTACTATAATTTATTCATCTCTCATTATCAACTTCTTTCTAGATTTACAACACTTTCTTCAATCTCTAATTCAGCTACTTTTATAAATATAATTTCAAACTAATTTAAAAAAAAACCAAAGATACTATTTCTTAATTTTCTGTAATCAAAATTTCATCATTTCTTTTTAATTATAATAACTTATCTAAAGTTAGTTTTTTAATAATTACAAATCTCAGACTTAATATTGTAGTTATTAGAACTTATATACAACATACTTATATCTGTATTATTTATTATAAATCCAATATACTATATATTTTTCTTAGTAATAACAAACATTCTTTTAACTATTTTACTAAAATTTTATATAGATTTCCTACTTATCTGGATTGTATTTATAATCTCAAATTGAAATCAGACTAAACTAAATTAAATTAATAATAATAATTTGCTTATCTTGTTACCAAATTCTTTCTTATAAATAAATATAACAAAATCCAAGTTTTTAAAAACTTTTTTAAACTTTTCAAAAACAAAAAAATGACTAAACAAATAAAACTTAAATTTTATAACAAAATTAAGAAAACTTTTTTGATTGGTCTAAAAAATTTCTTATTACTAATAAAATAGTGTTATTTATCATTTTTAGTATATCATTATCTTAACAAAATTTTGATTTTATTAAACATTATCTTATTAACTTTATATAGAAAAAATTACCAAATCTCAAACTGCAGATAAATTAGTTTCAAAATAGAGTTTTAAATATTTTATTAAAATTCTAGCTGGAAAACAATCTAAGTTTCTTATAAAAATTATTTACTAATATAATCTATTTATTAACACATCTATTATTATCCTATTTGATATATTATACTTAATTTTTAAAAATTTACATTATAAATTTACTACTACTCTTTTTACCAAACTTAATTATTCTAAATCCTCTCTTTATATAAATATATTTTTTCTTATATATTACAAAACTGTTTTCAAGTAATAATCAATTTGGCTAGAATTCATCTCTATTTTCAAAATGAATATCAAATAATCAACTTCTTAAAATTTGTCAAAACAATTAATATATAACTAATATGCTTCTTTCTAAACTATTTTATTAGTAAAGATGCTATTAATTAGCTCTTATTCAAAATATAAAATAATGAAAAATATAATATCAATGTTATTTTTAATATTCCTAAACAAGAATTACTTCAAATTTTCTTTATTTTTTTATTTAAAAAATATAGACCTAATCTTAAATCATAATTTAAACCTTTTTTTGCAAACTATAAAAAACAATTTGTTAACATTAATAAAATAAAACCTTCCATTATATCAAATTTGAAATTATTACTGAACTTGTAAAGTTATACAAAAGCTTACTTTTATTTGATTTAAAAATTATTTCAATTAACTCATTATAAGAATATTCTTTATTTTGTATCAAAGCAACTTTATTTTACATCTATATGCAAAGTTAATCCTTATACTGTTCTCTTTTCAGATACTGAGTACAATTTTAAAAACTTATCAAGACTTTTTTTATAAATCATTTAACAAATTTCTTGCTTCTGTTTTTATAACAATACAACTAAATAGATTAATTCTAAACTAGATTTTATTATTTTTAATAAAAATCAAAAACATTAAGATATCTTTCTTAATACTATACCTCTATTTTTGTTTCTCAAATTTGCTAATAAAGCAAAAACAAAATTTACTAATAATAATAACAATATTGAAAATTCCAAATGTTATAGTATCTACTTTTACTTCTATTTTCATGTCTTTTTTAAAGCTATTACAGAAAATGATAAAATTTATAACTTTAATAAATATTAAGTCATTACTAAAATTATAACAAAACCTGTAATACAAACTTTTTTGCTCATATAATTACCTATTTTCATATTCTTAAACAACCAACTATTTCAATATCAGAAATTCTTAAAACATACAAAATCTCTATTTATCAATAAGTTCAAAAACTATTTTAAAATAAATTTAAATTAAATTTAATTTTCTTAAAAAATTTAAAGATGATCTTTTCTTTAATCCAAAACCTTCTAAAAACAAAACCAAAACTGATAGAAGTTTATCTTATACTAAAACTCTTAACCAAAATACACTTATATTTACCTACTTTTATAACCTTTTTTAATAAAATCTTTTATAGAATCTATAAATGCAGCTACTACATTTGGAATTATAATGTCCTTTATTAAATATAAACCATTTTCAGAAGAGAATAATATAACTAAATGGATGGTTAAGTCTATTTATATAAAGAACTAAGTTAATGACAGTTAGACTCAATATACAGAGCAGACTATAGTATTCTTTACAACTGTAAAAGCCAAGCATATAGTGAGTAAATCTATAAAAAAATCTTCTACTTTCTTGAATTCTATTTTATCATTAAGCATTAAGAAAGTATTGTAAGAATTAGTTTACAATATATTATATGATTTAGACTATGTTATAACCAATGGCTAGCATGTTTGAACTTACTTCTATTTCTATA